TTTTTTAATCTTTGAATATATCTTGGTCTTCTCCGGAAATATTGATGATCAACTGCTACAGAAACCTGTTAAGCAAAAGCTTTTTCTATTGAGTCCACAACCATTTGGACCATTTGAACACAGAAGTGTTCAACTTTAATAAAACTTTTGTCGACTTTGGGTGAATTTTATGTAAATGCAGTGAAAAATCAGAATAAAAAAATCAAAATCTGTAATTTTAGAGGGAATTCACCAATTTTTCCAAAAATGTATGCGAAATTCAACCTAAATTTCTGTCCACATTGGGAAAATGATATGAATGGCTACTTTGTTATGGAAGGAGGATGGAGAGATGAAGGTGAACTTTCGACAAATATAGGCAACTCTGGCTATCAACATTTAATGTTATTTCAGAAGAAACTGACAAAAACGTAAATAATAGGCGATAATTGCAGCCTTTAGTTAAACTGTGCTTTATTATTCACAGTCCTTATCGTCGTGGAGTATATTCTAAAGGTTAATAAGCAGATACAATTATAGCGAGCATTATTAAAAATTACCTAATGAGTAAAGATTATAGGATGAGGTGAAACTCAAACTGATGTTTTACAAAATACCTCACTGTTTCTGGAAGAAGAAAAGGTAAAGATTATCAATCAAAACTATCACTTAAATAATTCCTTTCTTTCATGGTAAATCTTGTTCAATTTGTCGCTTATGCTACGTGTAAAACCTCGTGTTTTACTGACCAGCAGTTTTCCAAGTTTTTTTCGTTCAGAAATTAAAATATGAACTTTGAAATTAGAGTAATTACACAGTAATAACTATGAAAGTACATCGTTCCTTATCATGTTTCCATAGGGTCGAAGTTTGCTGAGGCCGTTTTATTCACCTTTCCCAGAAAAGTAAGGTTCATGAGCGATTGTGGGCTAAGGATTCATGCTGCTATGTATCCGAAAGATGTCTTTGAATTATCGTCCATTAAGTTACTTGACTTAATATTCTGTAATGTTAACAGCATCCTCAATGAGCTAGTAAATTTTTTCCTGACATCTTGTAAAAGACATGTTTCTAGGGTATCTAACCCTCTCTCAGTTGATACATAAAAGTGAAATTGTGAAAGATTGTGATAACCGTCTGCCATTGGCTAAAATTGTGTACTGTTTGTAACTATGATGCAGATTTCAAAATCTGCAGAAAAGTCTGAGTGTGCTACATGAATGTTTTTCCTGGTATCGCGTACTTTTTGCCAAGCTATTAAAGTTGAAAATCTGCCACATAACGTACTCTGTTGTCTGCATGTTGATTTTGACTTAAAAATTGATTGGTATACTTCTGTTCCTGCTGTGGTCGTTTATAGAGTTTAATAAAAGAAATCTTACGCGTTTCCGTTAACCAAAATTTAGGGATCTTGATTTTGTTACATTCGACCTGAATTTCAGCTACAGTCAAATCGACAGGTTGGTGTAAGTAGCTATGTTTCCGCTGCAACGGCTCTTTAGTAATTATGCGCAGGCCTAAAATTCTTACATTTTAGGCTTTGCAATGCCCAAAGGTATATCGTTTTTATCGATGCTTCTCGCTGCATTTACAAAATTGATACCACTCAAGGAAGATACGGAATATTTATCGGTATCAAAATCATGTACCGTAACTGCAGTGCCCTTACTGTATTTCATCAGCATAATGCAACACTTGGGAATTTATAGCAGACCAAACATCAGTTACACTGACTTCATTTAGTATGTCAATGTCCCCAATGTTGTCACAGTATATTCAGTGCTTTTTAATTAAAATCCATTTTCTGTGGAATACGATAACTGGGTTTTCACCCTGAACGTTCACAGGCTTAAGATTTATACAGAAAATTTTCAGGCTTCATATATGCCCTGGATTTGTTGAGTGAAATGTCAATTTGTTTATAAAGGAGTGAAGGTTTACTAGGAATATTATCAGGGCAGAAACAATTTTTTCTAGAAAAAGCTGAATTGTTTACAAGCTACAGGAGTTGAAATTATCTCTTGCTTATAATGCATTTTTCATTTACCATTAGTTGTTGAATTTTGTCCTGACAAACAAACAAACTGCCATCGCCAAGTCACTGAATGTTATGCAAGTAGTTTTTCTTCTAAACACTTTATCTTTCAAACTGATAGCAATTTACGATCAATCAAATTTATCCATATTATAAATGGAGCTGTATATTACAAAAAATGAAATTGTACAAGGGATTAGCATTTTGGCATGTTAATATTTACCGATAGTGGGAACACGCTGAACCATTCTGAATATTGTCCATTTTCGTCTTAACGAGTATGTTTGAAATAATATAGTCTTAATACAAACAATTATGTAAAATGAATAGTTACTAATCCCGGCTTTCCAAGTATGCCTCTGGCTTTTTGAATATGTCAGCCAATTTTCGACCATATCAGCCAAAACTTTGACTTTTTCTTGACTGACACACTTTTCCTATAGTCACTGTTTAGCGCACCTTATTTTTATAAAACACGTATGACAACAAGACAGGTTTCAACATAAGTGCTACGGAAGCAAATGATCAGAAGCGAAACTCACCAGCATAGCTTGTTAGCACAGGTGGTGTGAGACGATAAGCTATATGCCACTACAGAAGTATTTGTAAAATTGTATGTAAAGATGTGTCTGTAAGATTGTGTTAAATGGAAGAATAGAATGTTCTTCAGATCGGAATAGAGACAATACAGACTGAAAATTGATGTCTTGTTAAGTTAACTAGCATGGTTTAATCAAAGTCTGTTTTGTAGTAAGTGGGTACTTGGAGCTGATTAACACATTAAAGCAGCCAAGCAAAGAGATCTAAAACATTGTAATCTATCTTTCAAAAGCATTAAGTTATGTTTTTTGGTTCTTTATTTAACTAAAATACCTTCGATGCATCTATCGTTTTTCTGTCACTCCTGTGAGACTCGCGTTTGGTTTTGCCGACAGGATACCTAAATATCAACATCTGGAAGAAAGAAATAACTGAGAAATATGCCATCCTTCATTTCGTTTAAAGATAGACAAATACATGGACGCCTAGCTGCTTTGGACATTATTTATGGCATACATACATCCGCTTCTTAAAGAATACAAAAATATTACACCTATTCATTATTTTCTAATAAGTGGTGAGATATAATTAGTTGATTTATAGTTATGAGGAGCTAGCAGTATGATGACTAACCATATTGGTCACCGTGATACAGTAATTGTATCTGGATCTCACAATAAGATGAAGTCTCGAAGATTTTTGTGTGTAATCACGGATTTTACTCTTACTTTTTGAAAATACACATACGAAAGGCAAGAGCTCTGTTATTAATTTTATGTATCTCTTTCTGTGTACCTACATTTCTATCACTGACCTAAATCTTTCTACTTTGTCGCTTGTCATTTTCCCTCATTTTCACCCATTTACATGTTTTTTCAATTGTTTATTTCAAAATTTTTATGTAGCTTGAAACGTTGTCGCTTTTTAACTCTAATACACTACTAAACTTCATACAAATAGTCAAACTTATACCCACCTCTTAACAACAAAACGGTAACTCAAAATAGGTAGTCGGTTTAAACTCTCATGTAATAATAATGTGTAATCTGTTTCTTTTAGTCATTTGATGCTCAGCGTAATTACCTGGGTTTTTTTCCAAGCCACTTGATGATCTATCAGCTTTATGTGAATTTAAAAATACGTTTTGAGAATTAAGAATTTCAAGTTTAGAAATATGTTTTAAGCTAAAACGAATTAACTGTTTGCATGGTGTATAACGACGTGTACCAAGAAAGTTAAGAGCGTTAATCAAAGTAAATCGGCATTAATTTTTTGACATCTATATTTAAGATAACTTCACTTAACAGAATTATTACTTATCGATCACAAAATCTGAAAAATGGGCTTTGAAATGTGTCTTTCTTATTAGAACCTCCTTAAAACATCAACCTACTACTGACTTAGTTGTTCTCGGTCTTTAAGAAGCTACTGAACTAGACTTTTTTTCCTTTTTTATTCAATGCTGTGTGCTCATATCGATCCTGTTAATATTACTAAGTGTAGAACAAATCTCGGTTATGAAAGATTATATTCAATAAAAAATTACTTCAAGTTAGTAGATGATTTCGTTACTTTTCCTATATTACTTTTCTATCGCATAGTATTTAACTGACAGTCTGAAAATGTTTTAAGTCTTTGTCAGTTACTCGGTTATAAGTGAGGTTTCTCATATTTGCCTATAGATGTTGAACTAATATGCATAGATCCAGTTTCTTTTGGATTGTTAATCTGTTGTTTCTGAGTATTTGTTTCTATTATTGGGAGACACATCAGTACTGATGGCCTAATGTGTGACAAAATCTCAGAACATATATAAAAAGCTCGACTGACTTTTGCCAATTATGGCTTAGGCGAGATATCCATCTGCTAACCAAACGAGATGAAGTAGTGGAACTTCATCAGTTAGGGTGGTTGGGATATGTAATATGTATGCCCAACTACCAACAGCCTCGACTGTCGATGTTTTTTGGTGCAGGCATAGGCTGGAAGATAGCTAGGGGCAGCCAGATCAAAACATAGCACAAATTCAGGAAGTCACTGACAAGCGAACTGAGCCATGTTAGTAAGTGTAGACTACCTGGTTGAGGTCCACGAGATGAGAGTAATCGATGGTCGGAAACTTTGAATGATATGGCTCAAAATTGTTTGCAGTGGAGCAGGTGCATCCATTCTTTGTCTTCCCCCAAATTCTAATGTTCTCAGTTCCCTATGACCTGTTTGCTCATGTTAAATTTACCTCACTGGATTATACTTCTCGAACCATATTTTCGAACCCTAATATCTTTTATTACCGCTCAAACTTCTACTAAATCTAATACTATGGGATTTGAATTGACAATTGCGTCTCTGTGCTGATGTAGTATAGCAACCTTTACTGATGTATGTACCTACGAAGTTCTACGTTTCAGCTGACTGAATGGATGTTTTTATTATTTTGATAGACATAATGTATTCTGCACATTACGCCAGAATGTTTGAAAAATACAAATGGAAAAAGAGAAAACATCCGTTTAATTTTGCTCAATCATGCCCAGTTACACGTATTGATGTTGGCAGAAAGCGCATCGAACAGAATCCCAGGGTCGTTTCAAATTCTTCCAGTATCAAATCATCTAACTTGGCAAATGCAAATAAAATAGAATCTCACGTTTTGCTTAGTAAGTATTAATGTATAAGAACTACTTGTCAATTAACTAAACTAATTTCACCAGATGAGAAGCTGTATTTCCTTTATTCAAGTGGTTACGTTGCAGTTGTAAGCTACATTTAGCGCTCTAAGTGGATAAAAATGAATACATTTTTAGCACTGAAAAATAGCCTTTTAAATGCCTTAACAATTATGGCAAGATTCACTTTTCTCCAGAAATCTACATAATAAAATATCATTGTCACAAATCGAATGAAACACAGAAGCCCAAAAGTGAACACTGGTGACAGTACATTAGAATTTAAAACTGATAGCCAATTCCATCTTAACTGCCTGGGGAAATTGATTTTCACTTACGTTAAAATGATGTTTTTTTGGTTAAATCTTATTTTATAGATCTTTAACTTTTCATGTTGCCACAGATTTTGTCATCCAGATCATTCGAAGAGTATTTTCAATATAATTTCCCGAATCTTGTCCACTTTATTATGCAAGAACTCTTGTCTGAATTTAAACGAATAGTTCCACAATAGTTGGACGTGAATTTTATGGAAAACTGTGATACTCAGAAATATTTGTATCCTGTATACTAACTAGTAATACCCAGATATGTTCAGTTCGTACTCTAGTGGTCATGCATGAACCAGTACTGAATGCAGGAATAACTACATCAGTGCAGACGAAATTATTGTACTTTGAATTTGAAATAGGCGCGAAGTAATATACAGAGGAATCATTATTGTATACAACCATTACAAAACACTAGTTAAGGAATTATGTTCGTAAAAATCACAGTGATTCCATTCAATAATCACAGTGTTTTTTCAACACTCTCTTCCATTGGAAAGTGTATTGTATCTCACAAACACTTTAGTCTGTGTACACTTGAATTAATCACGCCCCTCAGTTTCGTTCGGACAATAACAATTTGTCCATATTTTGATGTAATTATCACGCTTGTATGAGTTTGTACACTTGATCGATACACATTACTTTCACTATCTTAAATGTTATTTACTTAAGTCATTCAATGGCTCTTTTAATTTCTTACATATGTGTTCACCTTAAATCCTACTCATCTGTTACCAGAATTTACAAGCATTCATTTCCATCTGCACATCTGTGTGCTTCTGGTTTTGTGATCTGCATTGTACGATGCTAAATTGTTGTCAACACGTTGTATTGTTCTCAAGAATCTAAAAACCATTGCAAGTTATAACAACGTTAATCAGGACGAGTGATATAGGAAGTATTACTATTATCTCGAAGATAGTTGTCTACAACTGGTTGAGTATACAGTTGTCTTGTGAACCTGTTTATATTCGACAGTATAGATTTTTAATTATTTCCATTAAGAGGCTCAAAGCTGAATACCTAGTTGAACTATGGAATTATTTTAATTTCAGTCGGATGGTTTTGATAAGCATGATCTCATTTTTAATGCTACATTCATTTCATTCATAAATAGTACGATGCCAAATACCTGATAAATTTATTTTCAAACGAACTAATGTGCTCTTTAATAACCCTTCCATAGATTATTATTAATTTTTGGTGGATAGAAGTTGTGCGAAATCAACGAAATATTTGTTTTTATTCGGTTTCTGGTAGTTTGGTTTTTGTGAGTTGACTTTTTATAAAGAACTATAATACGTCAATAAAATACTTACTTGATAATAAAAGTCATAAATAAACCAAAACCTTGTCAGGAAAAGGTGATAATCATGTAGAAGATTTCATTTTAAATGAATAGTCTTAACTGATATTGGTAAATGAAGCTACTTTTCGCAAATCTCAAGTAACTATACTTGAAGTTTCAGAATTTAGAAAGCAATTAGAACCAGAGATTTAGATCACTCTGCAGGTAGTACAACTCCAGTAACTAGTCTGACATACATCTTACACCAAACCGTTGCTTGACAACATATTTTAAAATACATCAGATGTTAAACAACATTTTCGTCTGAAAATCAGAATATCTAGTGAAAAATGACAAGCTTTCGTGTTCAACTGAGAAATGACTTAAGACTATTTTCCTTTATTTTCGAAACTACTACTCCACCTTGATACTACAAATGTAAATTGAAATTTGTTTGATTATGATGTTCTATTAGCGTTGTCTGCATTTATTTGACCCACAATCCTATTAAGGCTAAATTTTTAGTGAATTTGCCTTAACTTAATGAAAGAACATACATAAGTTTAAAATTTGCTGATGAATTTATTACATATTTCTAAGTAACTGTATTTACAGATCATACGGATTCGAAGGAAGTACCCAATGTAGAATAAATTTAATTTAGTCTGTATATATTTTCTCTACTTTGTATCATAATCATTACTAAAAGTAGGATTTATTTCTTGCTGATTTATTGACAAACTGGTCAATGAAATTTTAATGTTTGATTTCTAAGATTATGCTACTGAATGATTAAATCATTTTATACTTTCTATATATTAATTCTAATCTTGAGACGAACATATGTATGCGCAAATAGCCTTAATTGTGATTTTGTATAAATAATGGCAGTATAAATCCAGAAATTGTGTTGCCTTAGCTTATTTTAGCTATGAAACAATTGTTTTTCTTTTAGTCAAATATCTTTTACTCTTTTCAATGATTTCTTTTTGAAAGACGTTAAAGTTATTCGATGATGTAAGACAGATGTAGTGAACTTTAACTCTTTTTACAAAAAATCAAAACTTTTGGAAAGAAAAACCTTAAAATTTCACTCACTCGTATGACAATTTCTAAAGTTAACCACTCTAATTATTATGATAATTAGTTGATATTTGATTTACTACAAATACTTTCATCTATTTAATTAATATTTAAACAGTTATAAATGAAGTAAGTACTTTAGTTGATAGACAAGAAATACTTTTTGTAAAAAATATCTGAGTAGAGTTTCCTGTATCCTCATTGATTTGTAGTTATTTCAATTTAAATTTGATAAATATTTTTTAAAATTTTTCCTCTGAAGGTATTGTTGAGGGAAGAGGTCAGTCAACCGGAGAAATAGGTCTAGCTACTATCGATATCTACTCTGCAAATGTTGAATTATCGCAATTTCGTGATACGAGCAGTTACAGTCGAACACTTGTAAAACTTTTGTTATACTGTCCTGCAGAAGTGAGTTTGCACGGCAGTTTTTTATTTTGATATATTTTTTTCGGATAAAGGAAATCTAAATGCTTGCAATCAATGAATAGTAAAAAAGATCTAAGCATTTTTTTCGTTTGGACTACATTAAAAACCATGAATACTTATTAAATATATATACAAAATAATTCCTTAGAAAATAAACATTCAGGTTTAATAGTTTTTGTTTTTGGTTAACAAAAGAAACCTATTTTCATCGTAAACCAATTTTTAGATATTATGTATTTAAGACTTTAAGAAGGATCCACGGGAATATATAGATTTCTTTAAGTTGTAAGGGAAAAAATAGAACTGTTATTATTCCAGGGCGTAAGCTAAAAACTCAACCATCTTCACAACTCCATCATGATGAGAATACTCGTTTGCTGACTGGTGACGAATGTTGAAAGATATTTCCTGAAGTAATACTGAAAAACCATAATCAGTGGAGTTCTGCCATATCGTATGCGAGACATCAGATCACGCTATACTAGGAACTGGCTCATGTTAAAAGCTTACATAACTGAATGTGAACTCAGCCGTCTGAAATTTGAATGCTGACCTAGAGACCAAAGAAACCTAGTTCCAATCCTTGAAGGTGTCACTAATTCTCATTACAGATGAATTCGATACTGGGATGAAACAGGTGACCAGTTCATCCTGGTTTCTAATGATTATTTAACCACAGTCATTATGTAAAATAAACTATAAACGTAAAATAATCGGTGCTTAAAATAAGTTCATAACTGCGTAAGGAATGAATTATTTTTTTTTCTACTGATGAGCTAAATATTTAGGAATTTTGATTTCACTTCAATTTTCGGCTGAATAATCATATCCATTTTTAAATGACAAAAGGTATCATTAAGCTGGATTATAAGAAATATTTTCAGTGTAAACTGACAACAACAAAATGAACGTTGGTAACATACATCTGGTCTCACAGCTCAAATCTTAAAATGAATTTCAAGGGGATTAGACTTACAATGCGCTTATTTCTAAACAGCAACTGTTCATATGTTAAAACATTATGGGGCACTTTTCTGACATTAAAAAAGAATCACTTATTTTTTTTAAACATAAAAATAACTGAGAAATGGAATTCAGGGGTGAATATTGTTTAATTTTACAGAAACTTATTCACAAAACCTCAGTTTTGTTCATTATTCTTTCATTCTGTAAATATGTGAAAAAAGAGTACATAATTCTTATAAAATTACCAATTGTCCACAACGCTTACAAGAATAAATTGAGACATCAATGCTTGAGACTATGACGAGAAAATATCAGTATATTTAGCATGTCATGTAGTTAAGATATGCTATAATCAAACATTTTCTATGGAAAATGTCTAAATGTACAAGTTATCCTACTTATAATAATGATTACAGTAGTACATATTCAACTTATATAACGTTACTTTGCTTAGATAATTATTCCTAAATCTGGTTTGGATCCAAATAGTTGTATGAGAAAACTTGTGAAAATTCTACTCTCTTTACGAGATGGTATAACATTAAATGGTGTTAACAGAAATTATTTCAATGACAATCAAGGTAAGTAAGAAGACTATCAATCAAATTAACTCAATAATCCAGGATTTTAATCATTCACAGAAGTATTGTCAATTTATCTTACAGCTTACTGCTCTTTACTTTTAAAATATATTTAACTGGGAACCGTGTTATTGGATTATTTTTGAGATATGTAGACAAGCGCTTTCTCAGACAATACTCAAATTCCTGAAATATTTTTAAGTAAGGAATATTATCTATCGAATAATAATCAGTAATTTTTGACTAAGCTGACAAACTTAAAATTAACTCATAAGGAAGAGTTAGCTATAGCCACTAAGTTTATGTCATAACTTCATACGGGGATAAAATGCATGTAAGTGATCCCTATGATACTAAGTAAACATAAGAAAGTAAATGAATCATTCTATACCTTTTGGTTACATGGTTAATTATTGAAATGATTAAATCTGAACAATCATTTATACACACTTATGACTGATTGATCTGACTGCCTATCAAGTTATGCAGATCATTCGTTACATTCACCTTCGTTTTTATCTAAAACACTTAATCTCATCACGCTGAACCTTCCCTTTCCGTTTATAATTTCTTTATCAATCTTTATGATGAATATTCAACTCCTCAACAAAAGGTTATTCATAATTCCTTCAATCGAAATAACGTTTTATTCCTTTATCTAATTTGTCTCACTATTATTGTTATTATTGTAATGATCACTGTTTGCAGCTGTTCAGCTTTGAAAATGAATTCGCTGTAAAGAGAACTCTTCACTAGATTAGTCTTTATTGTTTTATGTATCAATGAGTATATTCCGTTAGCCTGAATTAACTCAATCGAAATTGTAATTTTTCTTGATACCATAATCAGAAATGTTGATTGAATTTACCATTTTCGTTATCATCAGGCTTACATTATTTAAGAAGATTGTGTCATCCACACTACATCCCATCGATATATGCCATCAAAGAAAAGTAAGAAACTTTTTCAGATTTAATCATCCCATTTTGTTTAGAATTTGGTAATGTTTTTTATTAATTATTGTATATGGCCTGGTGCTTTTGAAACAGTTCCTCTTTTAGATGTTTGTCTACAATGGTGATGATAGCTAAAACCAAACAATGTAATTTACATTAATGGTCATAGGAAGGATTTGATTGTGACTAAGTTGGTCTCGTGTGCTTTTACAGATATGAAGGTGGTTGTCACTTTCCGATTGCTCATACAGCGGAAGGAACTTGAAAAGAAAATCGGGTTAGCGTTAGTCTGAGCGACCTAGGAGAGTGACATCAGAGCCCAAGGGACAACTGCTTGAGGCCGGTCATGCAATACCTTTTTATCGGAAGTTTTTACAATGTTAGCTTAGCTCTTAAAGTGGCCTTACCGCTGCAGACCGAAATCCATGTGGTACGGTGAAGTGTGATATTTTTAGGGTGGACCTTTTCTAACCCCTTCCTTCCTTGTGAGAAGGCAGCATTGCTGCAGATGCTGGTTGTCCGACAGAAACACCTTATTGCTGTCACAACCTTCCAGAGTCAGGAGCACTACTTCATCCTGAGACCTTGAGTAGCTGTTTTTAGTCTCGTCGTTCTACAATCGACCAATCAGGTGTGGTAGGACCTACAGGAACATATGTTCTAGCCAGTATAGCTCGGCTGGCTCATCATGATAGGCAAGCCAGTCCACCACGTCAAGGCAACAGCTACGGTAGGAAATGGTCATAGAAGACTGTACTGTTAATTATTATTGTCCTACAAAATTAATTAATTTCATTCAAATTCTAAAGTATCTCTGAATTTGACTTCAAAAGTAGGTATTCGAGGAGCTGATAGCCAGCGGTCATTGGTAAGATATTAGTCTCATAGTTTTCTGACAACTACGCTTCTCCCTAGGGGCTGTCTTAGATGCTATCAGGCTGCTTTTTTTAAAACTCTTTGTCTATAAATTAGTCAGAGTTTACTATAATTTGGATTTTCAGATCTACTGTGTACGTAAACGGGGCGGGGTAAGACAAATCCGACTTACACTTTGCCGCCTTGCCCCTTGGATATCTGTACTTGTCTCATGATTAAATGTGAGAGGTCCACTACTCTTTAGTAACATCGAATTAACAATGTTAATACTTTTACCTGATGTACGAGTGCACTTATGCCTGTAAGTATGGTTTGGGACGTACAGGTCGATTTGATCTGTCTATTTCAAGTTTGTTGGTGGTGTATACTAGTAGACCGACCGCTAAAAGGATAAATTTATTCAATTCACAAAGAACTCCATGAGCACAAACCAACGTATTGTATTTGGAAACGAAATCAGGCGCAGAATAATGTACAAAAGAATCGCCGTTCGGTAAAAATACCACAACCGCTGCAGCTTAAATGGGAATTCATCATAGGTCTGTCAAGCATCATACTCGATGAAGATTCGAGGTTGCTTACTATATGCTTGCTAGTATTAGAATCACCAACATACATTGGAACATACACACTTGGTTCCCGGAATTAGGTTTGATCAACATATCAACCGTGTGAAATGAGACCTTTGGTATCTAGAATTGGAACCATAGATTTTTCAGCGTTCTTCAATAACTTCCCAATCAAGCTCTAAGAGCTCATTTCGTACATCGGATTCTGAACTGTTTGGTAGTACTGATATTTCAGACAAAAGAAGCTATAGAACTACAAATTAATTTATCAATGTTCAAATTACTGATAATTCCAAGTCATGCAGTAGATACTATTTTACTATAGTCTGCCTATTGTGTAAAATAGGGATATATATATATATATATATATATATATATATATGTATGGTGGTCAAGGATCTGCCGAACCGTTGAATGTCCTATAAAATAAATCTTATACTTAATTTACGTATATGAGTTTTAGGCGAACGCAGCCTTTACGACAGCGGTAATTAACAGCTAGACAGACAACGAAGAGAAGTGTAAAAGTAAAGCTGAGAAGGCGAGTGGGCTAACTAAATTGATGAGGCATGACTAAGTATTTATAGTCGGACAAAAGTAATCTAAACAGGTGATAAGCAAGAGAAGCAATGCACACAATCAATAAAAAAACAACCACAGTTATAAGCGAATAGCTGACATGGTCGAAAGATGTGTGGAAAATGAATCAACTTGTTTGTCTTAAGGCTGGGACAAGGCCACGTCGGCTCGGCATATTATCATACACTACATATATGCCATTCGATGCAAACCTAATGGTATAGAGAATAAGCGTTCATCTAAGAAGCCAAATGAGCAGTGCTTCTAGCTTTTCACTCGTGGTTTAACACACGTATTTTCGTGATTTCAATATAAATATACATAATTTCACTTCTGAAAATTATTGCAAATCAACAGCAGCATACAACAAGCTTACTTCTTATCGCTTCTACTTTTTTTTAGATTTTATGCCCTTTCAGCATTGTCTGCATTATTTAATTATGCTGAAGAGCTTCATGGGCTTATATATGCCCCGAAATCGATGAAATTCTCATTCACAGGATCTATTAAATCTACTATGATCGGTAAGAAAAATTGTGCAGATTTCTGATTGGTTAGTTATGCTAAAATGTTATTTATTCTACGAGCTATAGAACATTAAGACAAGAAAGTTAGCATTCAATGACTAACATTAATAAATTTAATCAATCTTCAATACTACTCAATCGATTTCTAGTGCTGTCTGTAGGTATCTGTCTCACGTTTGGCTCGGTAGAACTCCATCAGTCACTGGTTTTCACTAGAACTTTGAAAACTGTTTCTCGAAATCGGATACTACTCAACATATGATAATAAATAATAAACAAGACTTGTGCGGATTATTGGATTTTTGTCATACTTCTGATGGCATAAAGGTAGGCTCACAAAGAGAGCGCGTCTAAATATCGGGAGAATAAATACCGACTTAATCAAGATTTCATTTTAGATGATCCAATATAGACTTTTAATTCATTTTTTTTATAGTATGAATGTTTCTGATAACCACAGGGATATTCATTTTACAATTTAACATGTGTCAAACATTCGTTTTAGACCTGTAAATATATGCATATATAATATTACTTTTGAAGATTGGTCATGTGGATAATAAATTCTTTGTTTAAGTCATTTGAAACCTTTTTTAATATTTTGCAGTAATCAGTTTAATTTTCAGAAAGTAGGCATTCGATATGATGTCTACATAAAAGTGGTCAACTTCACATTTGACTTGTAATCTGTCAACATTTTTTTTACTCGCTGGTACTTTCTTTTCAAAGTCAGGGTTTTCTCATTTGTGTTTCAGAAATTTAATGAGTCAATTTGCTTCTGAAAGATAGATCATTAATTCTTTTTTCATTTTTGTTTCTAATTGTTTCATTTTTAGACTTTAAAAGTGCAAAACATTTACGTTTGGTTAGAAATAATTATGACTATTCAGCTAAAGATACACTTTATTCAGCAATAGACTATACTAGTACAGCTAGTGGTGCTCGATTATTACGGGCCAACTTATTGGAACCTCCATGTGGTAAGTCTCAAGTAAGATTTACTTAATTGTTAAAAGTGAACATTTATTTATAAACTGTAAGAACATTCACTTGACTACATTGTCGGTTGACTGACTGATTACGTAGTAATGGAAAATTCACTGGTTTGTTAAACGTGTTCATTGAGTATAGTTGTTTGGAGAGAGTATAAATTGGAACTCTTCAACAGCACATAAATGAACATTTGATTTTCTAAATAAACTTACAGATAATGAGTTGGCTGGAGCAACTCTTTTGGTAGATATTTGTGAGAACTTTTAAAAGGATAAATAGTATATGCGATAAAGTTTTCTTAAACTTGCTGAGCTTTTGACTATCGAACTTGTAACACGTGATTTATGAACTGCAAAGCTAATGATGTTTTGATGTTGTATGTCGTAAGGAACTGTTGTGCACTTAAGTAAATGAAGCCGATTCATGTCATTTACTCAATCTATTGTATTATTCTTATCGAATGTATTATTAAAACTATGCATATGATCCACGTAACTACACTAAATTTACAAAATTTTTGTCTGCAGATTTAGAGACAATTTTGAATAGACAAGCTTCAGTTCATGAACTCATATCATTACCGGAGACTCTGTTTAACATACAGGTATGGAGTACATTAAGTTACTTTCTTGTTTAGTTATCTTTCCCATAAACAAAAACATAAAGCTGACATTTTTTTTACACTATTTAGAATGTCCTACGTCAATTCCCTCATATTGATAACCTTTTATCCCTTTGTGTTCAAATATGTTCGTCATCCAATATGATGTGTATTGGGAATGAAACCATCAATAATAAAATTCATACTAGCATCAATTATCAGAATGCGTCAAATGAAATGGAATTCAAGAACGAAACAGATCCATTTAGATCAAATAAACCGAATGAAGATTTATTCAAATCATCTGAAATCTGTACACAAGAAACTGTTACCCATTCACCTTTAATAAATACAGTTAAAAGAAAATCAACAAGTTTACTGCTTAAAAGACCCACAAAATCGACAACTTTAACGTCTGCTTCGCCATTATCATTTATAACTCCCAGTTACGAGAAGTATTTCCCTTGTAAAAGTGACATGATCTATTTAAAAAAAGCAGTAAACGTTCAAGCAGCAGAATCTCGAATTACAAAAGTTATCGCAATCAAATATATGTTAGACCTCGTCAAATTACTGCATAATGCTATGGGTGACGTCAATTCTACACTGTTGCGAACATATAAAGAGGTAATTATAATTTTAAATCAGTTATCCAACAAACATGAGACAGAAGTTTATTTGGCTAAATTGAATCACATATATATATATATATATATATATATATATATATATATTTATATATATATATATATATATATATATATATATATATATATATATATATATATATCCGATTGTCCCATTATAATAGATCTAAGGTAACAGCATACAATTTAATATTATTGCAGTGCTTTCACTTAGTAGCATTTTTCATAAACGTCGAGCCATTAATTTATATGTAAGTTAATAAATACTTATCTCAGAGTGTACAGTTCCTAAATTGAGCGTAAACCTACTTCTGTTGGTGAATCGTAATAAAAAAGAAATCTATTGAACAACGCTTTAAATGAATTTTTCTTTTGAAGTGCATTAATTGTCTATTGAAAATAAATTTACTGAAATGAAAAATGTTGGTTGCACTGAATGAACATATAATGTATGACTATAAAATACCTAAATCTTTAACAGCCATCTAAAACTGAATTAATGTCACATTCTGACTTTTGGTGAAATACATTCTATGAATAAAAATGGTAAAATTTGTTTTCTCTAACAAAAAGTGTCTTAATAAATTAAGTTCTGAAGTTCATGCAAAACAAGTGTTTGATGTATGTGCATAAAAATTAGTAAACTTTTGTACTTCTGCTTTCTCTGAACTAGGTGATTTAGTTGCGAAACATTTACCGTCATTCAAAATAATACCACCTGCATTTATGTTATACAGCAGAGAGCTTCTAACTTATTCTGCAGGGGTTAGATCTCTTTGTTTTGGTGGCCTTGTTTGTGATTGGTTGTCTGTACAAGATTTTTTTTATCTTCATCTATGTGCGAGGTCGTCGATGCACACTGCCAAGGAAAACCAATACTAGGGACGAAACCGTCATCCATTGCTAGTCTAGTACTGATCAATTCATGATTTCAATGAAACATTGTAAGTTCGTTTCAGTTCTAAATAAAAGTTATTCTTAGAAATCATGAATCGATCAATGTTAGACAACTATCCGAAACTTGGAAGCAATGGACGGCCGTTTCGGTAGTAGTGCGCATCTACGACACCACCTCTCGAGAATCGAGCTCAGGACCTTCCTTCTAGCTCAATAACGCATATTCTTTAGACCACTGAGTCGACATTCATCACCGTTATTTTCTAACTTCAATCAATCTACAGTATTGTGCTACCTCACCCTGTGTCTTCTGTGGGTAACTACCTCACAGCCGACAGGGTCGAACTTTACTGGTCACGGATTCTCACCAGAACTGCGAGAATTTCCTCACGGAGCTGTTTAATAGTCATCACATGATAGTTTTCCTTACAGGGTTGGTGGATTCATGATTAAAACGACACTTAGTAATTTTCACAACCCTGTAATGAAAGTATATCATCCGATTATTATCATGTTACATATGTTAGTGTTTTTCTCATAAAGGGACACACTATAAAACAATACGTCAAGCTCTTGGCTATTTAGATATCATGTTATTATTTATTTTTTCTTAGCTCTTACATGATTCCGAATATGAACATGTATTAGATATTCTGTGCACTGTGCTACATAAGGATGTACGATTGTCAAAAGGAATGCTAGCTATGAGAACACAGAAATGTTTTGCAATCAAGGTATTTTTCATAATTCTTTTGATATCTCACAAATTCCAAACAAAAACTTTTTAATTTAGGAAGGATTAAGTGTTGTGTTAGATGTAACACGTAAAGCCTACTCAGAACAACTTGATGATATTACAAGTAAGTTTTATGAACCTATTAATAATAAAACTGGTTTACGTAGTTCGAATTATAATTTTACTGAGAGTTAAATACTATCCATAGACTGTAAGACTACATTTATAATAACTGATTTTATTACTTTACTTACTTACTGAGGCCTGTTAACCCAAATGGTGCACAACCCGCCGACCACTTTTATCCAACCTACTCAGTTCTGGGCTTCCCTTTCCAGTTCTGTCCAATTTTTGTTCATTCTCATATCATTCTCTATTTATCGGTTTAATGTGTTTCTCGTGCATCCTCTTTCCCTTTAACCTTGAGGGTTCCAAATGAGGGGTTGTCTTGTGACACAGTCCGGCGCTTTCGTAGTGTATGTCCTATGTACTTCCACCGCTTCTTCCTGATTTCCTCCTCCACCAGAATCTGGTTTGTTCTCTCTCACAATAGGTTGCTGCTGATGGTTTTTGTGTAGATAACTGTTAATAAATACTTGTATGTTCTGGATGATGGCTTTGCTAGTTTTCCAAGTTTCCGCTCCATATGGTAGAAATGTCTTGACATTTGTATTGAAAATTCTGACCATGGTATTTGTTGACAGTTGTTTGCAGTTCCAGATATTTTTCAATTTTAGAAATGCAGCCCTTGCTTTGCCGATCCGCTCCGTAACATATGCATCGGATCCACCTTGGTTGTCGATGAAGCTGCCAAGATATGTAAAAGATTTGACGTCCTCTAAGGCATCTCCATCAAGAATGATTCGGTTGGTGTATGTTGTGTTGTATCGGACAGTCTTTGTTTATGGTGAGACCTGCTGCTATACTGGTCGTCTTCTCTTGCGTTTGTTGTTGGTTGTGCGACAGAAAAGTCAGATCATCTACGAAGTCCAGATCGTCCAGCTGCGTCTTGGCTCTCCACTGTATTCCGTGCCTCTTTCCAGATGTGCCCGTCTTCATAATCCAGTCCATCACCAGGAGAAAGAGAAAAGGTGAGAGTAAGCAACCTTGCCTGATACCAATCTTCACCTCAAAAGAGTCTATCAGCCGACCTTCGTGTACGATTTTGCAGTTGAATCCATCATAAGAATTCCGTATGCTGTCAACTATTTTCTCAGGCACACCATAGTGACGAAGAAGCCTCCATGGTGTTTTCCTATTCACGCTATCAAATGCTTTCTCGTAGTCGATGAAGTTGATGTAGAGTAGTGAGTTCCATTCAATTGATTGTTCCACAATGATCCGTAATGTTGCAATTCGGTCAGTACACGATCGATCCTTACGAAATCCGGCCTGTTGATCTCGAAGTTGGACGTCTACGAAGTCCTTCATTCTGTTTAACAATACCCTGTTGAAGACTTTGCCTGGTATTGAGAGAAGAGTAGTTCTCCTGGTGAGATTGCCTTTCTTTGGTATTTTGATCAGGTATCCTTCTTTCCAATCTGATGGTACTTATTTCTCATCCCAAATCTTCTTGAAGAGGAGGTGAAATATTTTCGCAGTTGCTTCCACATCTGCTTTAATTGCGTCTGCTGGAATGTTGTCTGGTCCTACTGATTTGCCGCTCTTGATTTGTCTGATGGCCATACTGATCTCCTCAATCGTAGGTGCGCCAATATTAATTGGGAGGTCCTTGGATGCTGCTTCGATGTTTGATGCCCTCTGTGATCCTTAAAATGCTATACCCATCTGTTTCGCGGTTCTTCAGTGTTGCTGATTACTTTGCCTTCCTTGCTTTTCACTGGTCGTTCTGGTCCACGGTAATTTCCAGCGAGCTTCTTTGTTGTATTGTACAATTGTTTCAATTTTCCTTCTTTTGCGGCCTTTTCCTACATTATTGCTAGATCTTCCACATATTCACGTTTGTCGGCTCTGATGTTCCTCTTCACTAGCTTGTTTACTTCTGCGTATTCAGCTTGTGGCTTGGCTTTCTCTACTCTTGTTTGGCTGAAATTGATTGTTGCCTTCTTGTTCCTCCTTCCTTCAATTTTTTCAAGGGCACCGAGAGAGATCCATTCCTTGGGATAGTACTTCTTTTGTCAAAGAACGTCGATAAAACATAGAACTTAACTGTAAGAGGCGGAGATAGAATTTTAAGATTCCTGACGTCAAGAAATGGACCTAAATTTCCTAATTGTTCATAAGGTTAGAACCAGAACATTTCATCATCTGTCTATTATATCTTCTAGCAATAGATCTTAGAAGAGCTCTAGTTCTATTTGTGCATCGAATATTTTGAAATACAATTTTAAATTCTACTTCTTTTCACAAAATGATTAGATTGGGTGAATAAAATTCATTTGGCCTTCTCACAATAATCATCATTATGGCAATAATTATTTAATACTAAAACGATTGTATAAACTTTAAAATACTTGAAAAAGCATCTTTATATATCTGATATTTTTATAGGGATTATGAATGCAAATGAAACTAAAAAATCTATTTCTAAAATTTCTAAAACATCTGTAATTGTTTCAACTAAAACACCATGTAATTGAACATTAGAGAAGTAATTTTTGTTGCGTTTTTGTAGTTATAATGAGGTATTTCGTTTGCAAAACTCATTCAAAATATTATGATGGGTGTTGTCTCAGATCTGAACACGATATGGGTTAGCGCCCAAAACCGACTACTTGATCGAGGAGTCAGCAGTGAGAGGAAAAATTTATTTAGACATATATGTGTATTCCTTCCACTTAGAAAATGAAACTCCATTTCTTGACCAATAACATTCACTTATCCTTTAAGATATTCCGGATGATCATCAAATATCCCTATTTCATTGCTTTTGATCGGTTTACTAAATAAATAGAATTAAAATCATTGTCATTCATATGACATTAACAATAATGGTCTGCATTGATTGTTATTGTTAATGCTTTTTTTTTGCATAAAAGATGAAGTTAGCAGACTTTCACATCGATATAATCTACCATTACGAATATCTCACAACAAAATTCGTGGATTTTACATTCAAATACCTGAAGAGTCATTAAAAGCTTACACAAGAACACCATCATCAAAGACTAGTTATGGAAGTTCAACATTTCCGAATAGTGCAAACTTTTTAAATGAAAACGTCTTTATCGAAGCAGAAGAAGAGGAAGAAGAAGAAGAAGAAGCATACAAAATACTGCATAGATATAATGAAAATACTGTTCATAATAAATACCATCATAGAACTCTTACAAGATCCGAGAACAGCACAAATCCAATTTTTCAAAATATTCCAAATGAATTTAAAAAGCTATTTATTACGAAAAATACAATACATTGTACAACAGATTCACTTGTGAGTAGTAGTATGATTATTGTTTGCTATGTATTACTGACTATTATTATTATCATTAATATTTACTATTCAGGTTTTCAATCTTGTAGAATTATTTCTAGTTAACAATAATAATAATAATAATAAACTTTATCTGTGTTATTTGGCATCACATAATGTTATAGATAATCGTTCTTTTAAATGACATTATTTATCATCTACAAAGTGGGAAAATAATGTTGAGGTCCATATTTATTCGATCAGTTTACACATAACCAAACAAATAAACAGGTAAAATATGTAATACGATGTGTAATTTGAACGTTTTAAGAATATTTTCAGACTAGTAAATAAAAACTTCAATCTGGTTCAGTCTCATAATTACTTAAAAACATATATCCTGTACATTCTTTACCAAAGTAATTTAATTTTCAACATTGTGTTAAGAGTGGGAATGAATGATATGGTTTAATTTCGAATAACGATTTTCTCAAAGTATTTTATAAATCATGGAATATATATGTATACATCTATCAAAGGTTAGTTTTAGCGGCAATCGATTGTCGTCGCCTGTTAAACATAACATAAAATACTACCATTTTAAACTGTTCAGACTACTGTGGTTTTGACATTTTGACAGAAATTCGGTCATTCATGATTGATAAATGGATATCCTATGCGGGTTACCTCGAACTAGCCCCCAAGGCGCAATTTTATATAGAATAGATAGAATGTAACCAGCACTGGAATCCAGGACGTGAGTTTCGGCCTAGATAAGTGAATAACACAATGACGTTTGAGGCAAACGGTACTGGGTTCTAGTCCCGGAGTGAAATCTAACTTTGAGATGCAGCTACATCCAGTTGACAAATCACAAATAAGATGAAACGCTTGTCCTGGATTTCAACGCTTGCGATATCCGATCTATCCGTTACAACATATTCCAATACACCGGTGGGCAGATGTTTTCTATTAAAGGGCTTCATGAATATAGACATTTTTTCAAGTGGGTTGTACAAATGCAATTAAAAAATGAATTAAATCAAAATAGTAACAAGCACCAATTGTAAGTGAAATATATATTTAATTACCCAATCATTACCATTAATGGAATCACCAAACCGATGAAGCAAACGGAAATATGCACCGTTTTACACTGGTGGAGAGCTATCTGAAATAAGTTCGCTCTTCACAACAAAGAATACTGTCTCTAGATTTGCATATGGTGGTAGAGATCTGAATTCAGACTAAATGAAGTTAATACGTACTAGAGTACTCAAAGACTGTATAGACATTCCTGAGCAAATTCTTGGGAAGCAATTAATGTCACTAAGTTCGAAAATTACAATATTTAAGTTTCTTGAGTTCCCTAGACAGAAAAAGATACGTTTAAAACATCAATATAAAGTGCTATCTTTTTCGCAATAATTTCAAATTAGTTCACAAACGGCTGCTTTAATGTATATTTCTGCAAAATCACTCGAACCGCAAAGACTCATGTAACAATCTATGGTTTTCTTGACTAGGTTCCTATAAGAAATAAACTGTATTGTTGTAAATATGTTCAGTTAACCATACTAAGATAAGTTTTACTTTTACTAGGTGAATAATTAGGCTCCATTAATTTCATATGGTTTTTTCTTTCAGATTCGTTTAAATGGTAAGTCACTTCCAACTGAGGATATGAAAAGTTACGAAGAATTCAGAAAAATAAGGTTATTATATTTTAAGATATAAAATTCTCTTGAAATTTATAGTGTTTTGAGAAAGCGTTTTTTTCATAAGCAAGGTTTTATGTTTATACCTATACACTAATCTTTTTCAACCATGACAAAAAGTGCAGGTCGGTCGCAAACAAAATGGATTTGTAAGACTCTAATGTATGGAAAAACTAGTAAAATTAAAGAGAAAAAAAGACTTGGATTTTGATTCATAATCCACCTATCCATATGACTAAATAGCCTTTTGGGATTAGAGCTGATGTTAGTTCATGAAAAAGCTCCAACACTAAATCTTAAACCTAACTTCTAACTTTAAACCCTAATCCAGCTTACTTAATTACGCTTGTTACCTCTAATGGAGTATAACCGACTGACCAGCATTCTCCAACCTACTCTGTTCTGGGCCCTCCTTACCTGTTCTATCCATTTGATGTTCATTCTTTTCATGTGTGTCTCCAATGCTCAGCGTAATGTGTTCTTCAGTCTTTTTCTTTGACCTTTAGGATTCTAAGTGAGAGCTTGTCTTGTCATGCAGTTTGGGGTTTCCGCAATGAGTATCCTATCCACCTTCAACGCTTTTTCCTAGTTTCTTCTTCAGCGCAAACCTGGTTTATCCTCTGCCACAGTAGGCTGTTGCTGATGATGTCTGGCCAACGGATCCGAAGTATTTTGTATAGACAACTGTTAATAAATACTTGTATCCTCCGGATGATGGCTTTTGTTATTCTCCGGATTTTCCCTCCATACAGTAGGACTGTCTTGATGTTTGTATTGAAAATTGTTACTTTGGTGTTGGTTGATAGTTGTTTCGAGTTCCAAATTTTCTTCAATTGTACTGGAAAAACATGTTTCAGCTAGCTATCACTTATAGTATTATATTATTTATGAATATTGTCTGAATAAAATCTTATTCAAAAACTGAAAATACTGTGTTTATAACTTGAATTGTTGAGATGAGTTAATAGAAAACAAACGCACCTTCATGTATGCATTACAAAATTAAGTAAAAAGTAACTAGTCATCTACAATTGTACGTAAAAGACTTTTGTTTATCTGTTTTGGCCAATAGATAGAGTTACGTTTTAGAAGAAATCGATGACAGAATATGTGAAGACTTACTGAATATACTTTAGTATTTTTAGCAGTTTATAAAATCATCCATTCATGATCTAATGTCACCACTAATTGTATTCAAAAATGTAAACATGCATATTGGAAGATTGAAGGAAGAATGTGAACACATTTACATGGACTCCTTCAGCCAATGTGGTAGATAAGATAGCCTAATTCGAAATTCACATAGAATATAAAGGGAATGTTTAAAATGGCATTACACAAAAAATGGAACATCGAACTAACTGCACATGGAAAACTTTGACTCAACATTACTTATACAAAAGGAATTTATGATGCAAATTTGTTTTCTTTTTTTATACGTATAATTGTCATGCAAAAAATTCCTTAACCTACTGATGCAGTAAGCTAATTTCATCTGAGTTATTACTTTTTTTTTTATTCTATCATCTATTATCATCTATTCAATGTCAATGCTTTTAAACTCTACTTTTTCTTGAAGTTAAATTTTTCATCAACAAATATGCAGTATTATTTATGGTTAAAATTTCAAACATGTTAAATTGTTTGAAACCAGACTATGGTATATGAATGTTGTTTGTGCATGCGTCTTGAAGGTATGTATGTATGTGGAAGTGGTTAGTGATGGTTGAAAGTTGGACGAATAATTATTGTTATCTGTAAAATATTTTATCAATACTTACTTACATATATATCAGTTTTAACAAAAAAAAACTTTTTTCTTCTCATTTTTTTTAAAAGAACGAATTAAAGGATCACTTTGCGAAGTATATCATATTGCTGATCAGTAAGTTGTTTCTGTAAAAAGGTTTATACATAAATGAAAATGAGGAAATTTTTCCCTAAGCCATTAACTTTATTTAACAAATAGTAAAAAAAGTTGAAATGGAAATGATGCCTTGATTACTTCGTAACAATATATTCATTTAGTTAGTGTATATCAGAGCTTGAGAACCTGTATGTAGTTTATTAGGAAGTCAACTCATTCTATTGTATTGGTTGTTTGTTGTTTAAGACTGAAAATGATCAGTTTAAAGATCGATGAGAACAATCAAACAGCCAATATAAATCAACTGAAATTCATCGCGTAAAACACAAGCAAGTGCCTATTTAGAATCATTAACTAAGTGGAAATTGCTTTGATGTTTAGAGAAGAAATTCCTGGATTCTAATCCTTAGGTGAACATGAACTCTGGGCTTCATATACATTCAGCTGATGAGTCTCAAATACTACAGTTTGCTAGTCGATTCACTTTTGTAATAAATTCGAGACTGGCCCTAACTAGCGACATTGGTTATACTCTTGATAAAATATTCAAATTATGAGGGAATGCAATACATCTGAAGGATTTATGCTGTATGCTGTATGTGATGATTATTTTCAAAACATATTTTGAATAACTTCATTATTTCTAATTTTTGACGATAGAATTATTAGTGACTTAATTACTGGATTGCATTCAGACATGGCACTATTTTATCGTTTATCAGAAGTAATCGCAGGTCTGGATCTATTAACTTCACTTGCCAAAATGTCATTAAATTATTCCCTTAGAAATCCTTTCGGTAAGTACAATATAGATTTCCGTCTAAACAACAGTGTTTAACCAATCTGTCACTTTTTGCAATTTGAGACAGTTTGTCAGTTGACTTCTAACTTCAAGTATATTTGTGAAAACTGTTTTCAAAATAGTATTTAAATTTGCAGGTTTTTTTTTCTTTCTAGTATTTTACACCGAAATATGATGGATAGATCCATATCAGATATTTTCATTAAATATAAGTAGACATATAAACTTTGTTTCAATAGTATTTCAATTGATGTAAACTTCGAAAACTGTGTTCACTTATAACATCCATGAGGAACGATATCATTCAAAATTCGATTTTATAGAAATGTATCTTGGTCAAATGAAACAGAGGTGGATAGTATTTCTCAAATTAACTTCATGTTAGATAAAATGGTAATGACAGATATAACTGACAACAATCGGTTGTTAATCATATTGGATATATCTGAGCGGCCTATAATAGTTACGGACATTATTTACACTATAGAGAATGTTTTGAATAATCAATTAAAGAAGGAACTGGATGTCATTGAGTTATCTTATTTGTTATTGTTAAGCTTAATTGTTGAGATAATTTTAGTTATTCTAGATGTTAATAAAAACATGGTTCACAAGTTTACCTTAATATGAAGTCTATGCGACTATACGTGAAAATTTTGATCATTTCAATAAGTTTTCTGAACAGTGTAATATTAAGTGGTACTTTCAGTATTTGAACTTTTATATTGTTAACACTGAATTGGTTTTTTAAATTGTGAAAATTTCCTTTTGATTATTAACTATTTCTTCCTATCACTTGAAATGATCAAATAGCTTTACACTTAGAAACGACTGTTACTTACATGATGACCTATTGAATGAAATGATTATTTGTTAATATCCATATTATTGACTTTGTTCATTATTAAGGTCACGAGATAAAAGTGCAAAACTATTGGTTTTTCGCTTTTTGAACTACTATGTGCAACCATGAGTCTAGGGGTGTGCCCCTAGGTACTCAAATTTGCAGCAAAAGTATGAGTCATTATGCGAAAAACATTATTAAGATGCAGGTTTATCCAGCTAGTGTATCCCGAACTCATCTATTCTGTAAAAACATGTCCTTTACCGATTAGTATTGGTCAAAAATGTCAAAAACGGTGTTGATCAAATCCTTACAAATTGAATTAAGAATACGATTCGAAAAGATAAGCATGAAAGAATAATGGAACTGAAAATTTAGAGAAAAATAAGGAAGGAGCACAACAGAATCAATATGAACGATTATGAGCTTAGCAGTCTAACGTCTCCATCCACTTGCTCGAACCTGGACTTTGCTGTTTGCATAGACTAACGCTGTCTCTCTAAATCAACATTGATTGACTTCATAGACTGGTACCACGTTTCAATATGGAGACGTTTGATTTTCTTTCAAATCATTTGATGAAATTTGCTTATATACATCTCCGAAAGTAATTTATCATAGTGTCTACTTATAATTTAGTAGGTATGAAACAAATTCATTTTCAAAATGTATCTGAAAATTAATGTTTTACACTGATAAAATTACAAAGATAGTTCGTTTACAATTTAATATAAACCGATGTTTTATACAATTTTTTTCTAAAGTTTGTCCAATCTTTAGTGATACACTTGGAATTAAAAATGGACGGAATATTGTTAATGATGAATTGACGAAATCATTGTTTGTACCAAATCATACGGTAACACACAATTTTGATGCTAATACCATTTCTATTTTATATTTCAATGAAGTATGCATCATCTGCTTCAAACTTTCATATTATAACTGGACCTCCCATGGTAAGTTATGATTATTTTTTTCTTTTAGAAAAAACATTTAAAAGTTCACATAGAACCATTCAGAATATTATTACAAAACTAGTGATTAGAAGAAGTTTAGTGTACAACTCTCATAATTCAAACTTTTGACAGTGGACTTTGTTACAAATATTGTTGTTAAAATTACTGAATTTAATTCCCTTTAACTTTAATCTAAATCTAATATTTTATGTCACTTCTCAAGTGGAAACACTGAGGAAAGTTTAATATCATAAACCACATTATCAAGACATTTCAGCTTCGTGTCCTACAATTCTGGAAGCATTTACTTAAAGATAAATTATTCACAATAATGACAGGATGGCATAGAAATATATTTTTATTAAAATTAACTGAAATGTTAAAAGCCATTAGTTTTTAAGATGTCATTTATGACTTTTTTTGTGTCTTTAATTTTTTTTTTTAGTGTGGAAAAACAACCTATCTTAGACAAATTGCATATATACAAATTTTAGCTCAAATAGGCTCATTTGTTCCAGCAGAATTCGCTTCCATACGTCTTACTGATCAAATATTTTTTCATACAGAAGGACATGATGACCTAATTTTAGGGGAATCTAGTTTTATTAATGAAGTAAGTCAATCAATGTAAATGAATCGATACCGGAATTCGTGATTTAAGTGTCATTAGCTTTTTGTATAACTAACAAGCTGCACATTATATGAAAAAGATAAGTATTTTCAGTAAACCAATAAGTGAAATTCAAATATCTTTTGAATGGTAGATGTGATTATCAAGTGAATTAGATAATTGAAATAGAGTTGCCAATTTACTTCTGTATTTGGTGTTATTGGTTAAAAGTTGACCAAAACAAAAAAAATAAACATAACTGTTTAGACTAATGAAGATGTAACAGAATTTCGATGCACAATCAAGTGATTGAAAATTAAGGAATTCGCTTACAAAATAACCTACAGCAGTGATATACTCATAATCCTACAAGAACTCAATATATAAACATTCAAACATTCTCTAAAACACCACTGTAGTCACTTTGATTTGAATTTGTTATTGTTGTATGAACAGGTTGATTAGATCTGAAATTCATTAGTTTTTTTTCCTAACTAGTTTCATTTATTTAGAACTGAGACAAAAATCTTTATTTTAATAGCATATATATTAATATTTCTTTTTTCCCCTCACAATATTCGGTGCTTGTTTTTAGTCGACACTAAACTATACTTAACGATTTCGACTTGTATCGTAGCTGGAATACATTATTTCCAAATTCTGGCATGAACCAATTTTCATTCTCAGTTATTCTTTGTCACATTATTTTCAACATACTAATTTGATAACAAATTTTACAAATGAGTTTTCGATCAGATAAGAAATGGAAACCTATAGTTTGTGGAAGTTGTCTTCTTCGATTAGTAATCTGTTAAATAATATCCGAATTCTTTCTTAGTATATTGTAGCTGTTTTGCATGCTTGATGAAATCATGAATTGATGTAGTATGTTGTGCATCATTCTACATTTTTTAAACTATCTTCTACTAATCACTGAACAATCAAATCAAAAATTGAAATATTAAATGTTCAGTTTTATGTTGTATTGCCTCCATAAATGTAGCTTTTAGAGAATGTATTATGTACTGAAACGTTGTCCAGAAATAGACTTTATTGTCATGTCATACAATTAAAATGTATAAAATCATATTTTAAATGACTTTACAGAATAATACACGTATGAATAAAAAATAGTTCATATATTAAATATTATCATGTTGTTCAATATCTAATTACTAATTCACTTGTTGATATGATTGGAAATTTTTTTAAATTACAGATAAGAGAACTAACTTATGTTCTACAAAATTTCTCTAGATCATCTATTATTTTAATTGATGGTTTATGTCAAAGTAAGTTGAAATATTCAATACAATTCATTTCTTCTCTTACGTTATTTTTGTTTCAAACAACAAACTTCAAAATGTTTTGTTTATTTTCTTAATAAATAAGTTATTACATAAGATTGAATACGAAGCAGTATGATGTTTCAGATAACATAAAACTTTTGTAAAAATCAAAAAAAGACTCATGCAAATCGAAAAGAGATGAAAAGTGTTGAGAAAATGAAAACTGAAATTTAAGAAGTTTGTCGCTAATTAGAAAAACATAAAGAAAGTATGATAAAAACAGTGTTTCAAGTGATTTTCATTTATTTCCACTCACTCAATATTAATTATTTTTTAAGATTAAAATAAGTGTTTCAAAATTTTATCATGTTACTATTAGTGTTCAGATGTCAGAACATATTGTTTTTAGTCATATTTTCAATTTTATGTTTCAAATAATTCACAGTCACCAATTCGAAGTAATGATTTTCAGTTATTGTAATTAGTAGTAGCCTGATTACATTGGTCCCTAATACATTCTAAAACATTCTCCTCATTACCTTGAAGTTGTGAACAGTCAGTTCGTCAGTTACAAACTAATACTTCGTACTTACGTACATCAGTTCATGTTGTCATACTACATTAGTACAGAGACGTAACTGTCAACTCAAATCCCAACGTGGTAGAGGCAGTGGAAGTATTAGCGGTAGTGAAGAAGACTAGGGTTCGAAGATATTATTCAGGAAGTATAACCCAGTGAAATAAACTTAACAGTAATCAAAAAGACTGCGAGATGGTGGAGAAAACTTGTAGCTCAGCTGTGGTGAACATAATATATTCACACCGATTTCTTATCTGCAAATAGGTTATACAGCAAATAAACCCTACCGCAAATTCTTCCTCCTTGGGTTTTCGATACTGTATTATGATTAAGTAGGATTGATGTAACAGTATACTGAGCCTAAAAAAAATATGCAACATTAAAGCGGATTATTAACTGCTGGACTCATATTGTATCTATTGCATGCAGTCATTTATATTTTATAATTGAACTATATAGTTCCAGTAATCTAGTAATCATTGTAAAAAATATTTTTCTTAAATCGTGATAGATGCAGTAGAATAATTATTTATTAATTGTCACATGCCTACGCCTGTTACCTCTAATGGAGCATAACCGAGTGACCAGCATTCTTCAACCTACTCTGTTCTGGACCCTCCTTTCCTGTTCTATCCATTTGATGTTCATTCTTTTCATGTGTGTCTCCAGTGCTCAGCGTAATGTGTTCTTCAGTCTTTTTCTTTGACCTTTAGGATTCTAAGTGAGAGCTTGTCTTGTCATGCAGTTGGAGGTTTCCGCAATGAGTATCCTATCCACCTTCAACGCTTTTTCCTAGTTTCTTCTTCAGCGCAAACCTGGTTTATCCTCTGCCACAGTAGGCTGTTGCTAAACTAAATTCTTACTTCCGGATTTATTTTTGATTTGGATAGCTAAACAGTCTATGCTTCAGCGTTATTACTATTTGACATAATTTTAGGACTCAGACCATAGACTATAGTTTCCAGTGACATTTCTTACTTTTAACACAAAGCGAAATTTATATGCATATGATTATAATATTATTTGTTGATAATATTCAGGACAATTTGTCTCCTTACAAAGATATTCATTAACCTCCAAACCTGAAATTCTTTTCATCCTTCAGATACTGACCCTGATGAAGTTGAATATCTCAATTGGGCTATCTGTGAATCTTTATTGGAACATAAAGTAAGTTCTGAATAAATACAACTATCACAATATGCATGTTTTTCCTTCCATGATTATATTTAATATCACAAGGTAGTCACAAATATATCCTCCCCATAGATTTTAGTTTATTATTGAATATTGAATATTACATTGTCTGTGAATCTATCAGTTAAAAATTGTTCAGATATCTAACTTTGACATGTGGTATTTACTTATTGGAGTGCACTTAATAGAGTTTGGTTTCCACTGTTTTAGTTTATTGCTAATCTACCTACGAAGTAAATACTTTTGACAGTTCTGCACTAATGGGGCAAACGACGCAAGCTGGAATTTCGGACCTGTTCTACCTGAAGTTCTTTAACTTTTGGTTGTATGTTCACTAAGTACTCGAATTATGATATCTATGTATTCCATAGCTAGTGATTTTTTCATGATGTATGAAATGTTGTTATGTATAATACCTATCTGTCAATCTTTTCAAAGACCGATTACTCAGGTCCCTTTCATGTTTGATATAGTTATGGAGATATTATACTTTCTTAAGTATGTTGATGTGGAGTCATAGTTTTTCTTCATACTGTTGTGTGAATCATGCTACAAAGTTGAACTACATAATCAGAAGTTACCTACTTGTAGTAATCTGTTCTTTTCCGTCAATAAAGCGAAGTGGCTTTGAAGAATGGGATTCCAGACCAATATTCACTAAGCATTGCCCTCGACTATTACTTCATTGTCACCATGTGACTATTTAACAGAAGTTTAATTTAGACAAAACGATCAATACCTTAAGTATACCGTACAACTGTTCTCAAGTGATTATAGCCTGACTACACAAGCTTCAATGAATCTCAGTAATCGTTTTTCGGTTATATCTAGTTTCAAGACGGTCAATGTGAACATTGATCCTCTAATTCTTTTGGTTATGAAAGACAGAAAGTTGATTTTTAATATCAGATCAGTTAAAGTGGTTTATTAATCATTTAATCAATTAAAAACACAGGAATCTGTTATATTTCGTCTCTTTATACTATTTCTTAACACTCGTCATATTCATATATAAATGAACGAATAGTTAGAAGGTTGTAAAAGTATTAATATAAATTTAAAACTAATCTAATTTGTTTCTCTTAATTATTCTAAATTATACTCTTGATTGAAAGTTCGATGTTATTTGTTATTATAAAGGCTTTTACGTTTTTGGCAACCAACCGTTATGAGTTGACCTCTTTAGCTTCATTCTATTCAAATGTAGAGAAGTAAGTAACCTGTTTTGAAATTTGAGTATTTTCTCTGCTCAATATCTGATTTCGATTACAATACATTACTTATATAATTAATTAAATAATTGAACAAAATAAAATTTTGAACACGATAGTGTATAGTTGACTAGTTGTTATTTGTTAACATCACTTCTCAAACTCTGAACTATTTTTGTTTGAAGATATAAGTGTACAATAATTACAAAGAAATCCGTGAACGCTGAAAAACAATGAATGTAAATTTAAATTTTAATGATTTAAGATGGATGGATATAAAACACCATATTAACAATTTCACTAAGAGACAATTAACTTTATCCACAGGAATTATTTGAATTAATAACTGGAAATATCTATTTAACTTAGTAAACTGATTACAGGTTGATAATTAAAGTCTTATTGATTATAAAGTGCTATCATTGATTATTTAAGGTTTATCAATCCTATCAGTAGAATATACAATTAAATGATTCATAAGATGGAAAATATTCTTATGCATTTTCAACTTGAGGTCAAATATATATACTATAAGTTTTGAAAATATCTAAAATTTTCTCAATAAGTCATATCTTATTCTCATGACCCAGAAAGTTATTTTATTATCATAGTATGGGATTCGGTAGTGCACATACACTAGAAGTCTAATAGTAGGATAAAACAGTTTTCTAGTATGCCGCAGTTTTCAGTGGTTGTTTAATCAATTTCGATGAGTGATGTAAGCTACTTATGGTTTCTACTTTTAATAAAAAGTAAGTGTTACGATTAATTTATGGTACTATTGCAGTTTAGAAAATGTAAAATAACCTGAGAAAATCTGTCGTTGAAACTATGTCATGGTTTAATCATAAGAATATCAGGTTATACTAATTCGCAAATAATAATAATAGATTACTCAGTAAATGAATAAATAAATTTGACTTATCCATATACTTGCATAAAGATCAGGTCAGTGAAATAACTGTGCATTATGAATATATACTTTTTATTTGTTAGCAAAATGGTATGTAAATTAGGAATGCTTGATTTTGAAAATATCAATTGTGTTGTTGAATAACGTAGAATAAATATTGCAACATTATCATGAAATAAATTGATTTCAATAACCGAAGTAGTAGAAAATAATGTATGATTAATAAAATCTGACTAATTTTTTTTTCTACTGTTTAACGACTTAAATTCGAATTCCAGTTATGCAGTATAGTTGAAATAAACTTTTCGCCTATTGAGAACCATTCATTCAAAGTTAGTAATTATATGAAAATACACAAAGATAATTTAATTTTATTTGTTGATTCTTTTTTCTAGTTATTATTTTTCAGTACAAGGAGAATTTGTACAAACGCATCATAGGCATCATCATACAGGTACATTTGGTCGAAGTAATTATGGAACATCATTTGTTAACAACAGTAGTATCATGGAAGAGTCTCCATTAGTTCATAGTTTCTCAGATGAAAATTATCCGAATGCATCCAAAATAAATGAACATCTATACAGTTTTGAATTCACTGATTCAGCCAGTCCAAATATCGATCAGATCACTTTTACTTATAAATTAAACAAAGGAATATCGCCTAAAGTGATGTATGGTTAGTTAAGAGTCTTTCCACTTTTCTTAAATACCTTTGATAAATCAATGTAAATTGGTAGGAGTGAATAATGACGGCAGAATTACGGTCTATAAACTGTGAGTTCAACTCCATCGGCTTACGGTAGTAATAAAAGCCAAATACGATTAAGCTCAGCTCAGCTAACAGCTAATGACTGAATAAACAATGTTCATAGATGAGGATTACCTGGTTGAAGTTTGAATGCGATTATCATAACTGATAATTGGAAAGGTTGAATGACATGACCTAGGCTCGGTTATAATAACTATCTATATTCCTTTAGAGGTTGAGTGCTATTTAATCCTATAGACAAACTAATTCATTCTATTTTTTTGAACGATTCTATTTATAATGGATCTTTCTCATTTCACTGTCATTCATTCTATTAATTTTGAATTCGTGCCTCTGTAATTCTGTTATTTAGTCCAAACGACGTGTGTATCATACTTTGGGTTCATTACTACTGACTGACCATTTTTTTCCTGGGCTAAATGTGGAGATTATTTAGATTCAAATTTATGCCATTATTGAGATACACTTTCTACAAAATTATTGTACTAAATGTCATAACAACAATTATGTACACTTTATATCAGTAAAGACATAGTTATCAATCTTTGCTTTGCTTTGCCTTGGTTACAAACGTTTGTTATGTAATGACTTTCACAAAAAAAATTAATTGCAATTCCTTATTTTTTTATTTCATTATCTCAATTTTACTCATCTGGTCAATCTCATTCATAAATATGACTTTGCCTAGGATGTTCACCGTTTGTTTCTACAAATTCTGCTTTCATGCCCTTCTCGATTTTCTCTTCTAGAATATTTTTAATATTTAGCCATGAATCAATCAATCGGTTAAACAATTTCTTTATTCTGCTACAACCAATATCTTCATTCACAAGTTATACGCAACTTTAATCAAGACTTTTCTTGTATAACTTATGCATAATAATTTTTTAAATAAGTACTGTTATTATTTCTACATTTTTATCAGCTGAAAATAATCCATGAAGAATATGAATTCATATGGTTATGCTAAATTCGTTGTTCTTTGTTTATTCAAATGCATAAGTTGGGCGAATTTGTATGAAAAGCCGAAAAAACGTATATATATATATATATATATATATATATATATATATATATATATATATATATATATATATATATATATATATATATATATATATATATAACGGTAAACTCTCAAATTTCTTTCATAGCCAATGTTTCATACTGTGAGAAATTGATTTTCTCCAACCTGTTGAAAAGCAGTTATAGTCGATAACCGGGAACCATTAAACACTTCATGTCAATTTAGGTTCTAAGTTTGTAATGTCAGACAACAAGTTTCAGTTTTAAATATTAGGAATTTTTTTTAATTTGATTACCATACACAAATAAATATTCATTAAATACCTACAATGGAAAGTTTTTAGTCATTGGAAATCACTACTTATGAAGTGACGTCATATGTGTATGAGAGTAACAATAATCAATAATACTATTACTTCAGTCGAGAATCGTTTTTTTGTGTGTAAAATCAGGTATAGCATTGGCCAGATTAACTGCACTTCCTCAAGAGATATTGGATCGAGCTGAAAAACTTTTGATTTCATACACTAAAGAAGAAAATATACACAATGATGACGAGAACATTAACAACGGAAAAACGATGACAATGAATGATACGAGAAACTTGAAACAAATCGATAAAAATATGTGCCCATATTTTCATAATTTGCAAAGACAAGTAAGTATCTTCTCAATTGTATGTTAGTTAAGAGGAGAGTATTTGTGAAATGACTTCGTTGTATCATTCTTTATAATAAGATCTTTAACGAACAAACAACATGAAAAAAATGATTTGTACTGAAATGTCAGATTAAGAACTTAAATATGCCTTTGTTTATCTAATGACAGGTATTGACAACTCAAAATAACCATACCGACTTGGATGTGTCCATTCCAACTGAATCCTCACATTGTACTACCATGACAGATTTGAGAAATGATATAACAAACTTAGAACGGAAAGACAGCCAAACGAATTGTTATTTAACAGCAAACGATCGCCTGGAATTTCAATTATTTGGACAATTACAAATTATATCAAAAGCTTACCAAATAATAAACACAGCACAAAATTTTTCGAATTCTGAAATTGTATACATTCAGAATGAAATTTCGAATTATCTCAAATTTCTAGGATGTCGATACCAGAAGATACTTTCGGAAGCAAATATGACACAGTTTTCTCCTTAACCTAGTTTCCGTTTCTCAAAACACATTGGAATTGTAGAAAATAGTGTTGTGATTATTCTTTTAAAATAATAATTTTCAAAATCGAAATTTTATAATCTTTTATTTTGTACCTACCTATGCAAGAATCACTATTTACTGTGTGCATAATATATTGGATATTGTTATACAATGACTCATTAATTACATCGAACTAATGTCCGAGCTATAAGCTGTCTCCTATGACAAGGAACTTAACCACTACAGCCGAAAACCACCCTAAAAAATTCGAATCCAATATCCAATATATTTTCACGAGCTGGTCGATACCAATTGATTTCTATGCGACCACGATTTGAATGAGTAAGTTCGGTTCAGAGTAGTAGGGTTTCTGGACACCAGCAGCTATCAGATTAACAAACAGGTGATCATTTAGTTGCAATATGGAGAATAATAAGGAGAAAAGTCTGATACTAATAATAGTAAGATTTCAGGACTGAATAAAAAAAATGGTTAATTTAGTTTATTAACTGGTAGTGAAGATTGTGTGAGAGGACAGAAGTGTAAGCAAGGGAGAAGAAACAGAGGTAATAGGTGAGATAGAGTTAAGTTGGTTATCTGTGGAGGTGGCAGTATTAACGACTAGCAAGTCTTAAGGCATGCATCAGGTACAGCTTTTCCACAAAGAAGATGATAATACGCGTGTGAGTATGTGTTTGTCAAATCTCCTGTTAAAGCTGTCCACTGAGGAGGCTGTGGTCACCTTGGCTGGGAGGGCATTCCAACTTGCAACGACTCCTAATGAGAAAATGTGTGCACGAACCTGAGTGTTCGCTCTTTGATGCGCAATTTTTCGAGGATTGTCTTGAGGAGAGTGTTGGTGATGCTTCAGTAGGACGCTCTGATTCTCTTACTACTAAGAGAGAATAATCACAAATGCTGGAGTCTATTTTTGCAAGTTTTATTCTTCAACCCTATCACCCATTTCGTTGCTCGTCTCTGCACTCCATCCAGGAGATTTGTCTCTTTTAAGGAGAGGGGATACGACGACGTTGTGAACCTGAAGGTGTGTGCGTGCATATGTCTGAAACAGTGTTAAGAATAATCCAGGGGTGACAGCACCAAGTTGTCTTCGCATAAAGTGAAGAGTTGCATTGGCCTTGGCTGCGTCCCCCACATAGTTTGTGCCGGTGTGTAGGCTTTCATTGGTTACTCAACCGAGATAGCGTTCTGAGGAGACATTGGGAAGCGTACTTCCATTGAGGGCATAAATCGTTTGCGTCATATGAGGCAGGAAATGCATGACGTGGCACTTCGGTTGGTTGAGTTTTAAACCGTTTTTCACTGCCCATTTCTTAATAGATGTAAGGTACTTTTGAAGCTCAGTCGAATCCTCTTCGCTTCTAATGGATCTTCGCATCGTCTTCGTAGATCAATGCTGGTGAGCTAACTGAGCCTAGCAGGTCGTTAATAAATATCAGAAAGAGAAGTAGGCCTAGGATGGTCCCCTCTGAAACTCCCGACATGGATACTCGCCAGCTCGCGTGCACTCTATTTACCTTGGTGCGAAACTTTCTATTCTCAAGGTAGTTTCTGAGCCAAGATTTGAGTGGGTCAGTGAAGACCATTTCTATAACATTTTCGATTAGGCGTGCGTGGGGTACTCTGTCAAAGGCTTTTGCAAAGTCGAGGAATATTACGTGCACCGCTATTTTACGGTCCAAACAGTATGTCAAACTGTCCCATGCGATGAGGAAATTAGATGCACACGACCTGCCTTTCCGAAACCCGTGTGGAGCTTTATAGGGTATTTTATTCTTATCAATGTACTCCCTCATTTTTCTTGTCCACTAGCCCTTCCATAACTTTTGATAAAACTGGTGGTAATGCGACTGATCGGTAAAAGGCTGGTTCCTTTCTATCTCCTTCTTCAAATATTGGAGAGAGATTTGCTTGTTTCCATTCAGCTGGGAATTGGTGTGACTCCAATGAATGCCTGAACAGGTTGCATAACGTTGAACAGAGGGCTTCAGCGCACTGTCGCAAGACTATAGGGCGGATTTTATCACAACGTGGTGACCTACCTGGGCGTAAGGAGTTTAGTTTCCTTAGTACTAAGTCAGGAGTGATACGGATGTTCCCTAAGCCGTCAGCTGGCAATGGGTTGGCGTAGTACTCTGAACATTTGGGCGCCTGGTTTAATTGATCAGAAAAGTTGGTGTTGAAGATCTCGGCCATCTCTAGGTTGGTGAGGTCTTCCCCGTTCGGTCCTTTGAGAGAACAAGACCCTTTCTTTTCGACATGAACCTAAACAGATTCTTCGCGGTTGCCTCTATTTTGGCAGCTAGCTTCATCTGAAATTGTCTCCTGTCGCTTCGAACTTTGGTATTGCATCTTTTTCTCAATGCCAAGTAAGAAATGCGATCGGAATCCTTCAAGGAGACCTTCCTCTTGTGCCAGACTCTCCTCTTCGCCTGTAGCAAGCGTTCAGTGCTGCGCCTAATCCAAGGTCTTCTAGTCCCAGGTATGTGGTGTGACTGAGGTACATTGTCTACGACAGCGTTTTGGATGATATCTCTCACTGCTTGCCAGTGATCATCTACTGTCAGCCTCTATTACTCTCGTGGCCACTGGGCATGTAGTAGGACCTCTCACATACGCGTATAATTTGCCCCAGTGTAGCAAAGATATGTCACGTTATCGACCTGTGTGAGTGTATCTTTCATGGCCATGTTAAACAAGACTGTGTCATGGTCACTACTACCTATCGGTGTATGGACGTGAACATCCTCAACCAGAAGCTGGTCATTTGTTAACATATAATCCAGGTTTGAGGACTTCCCTTCCTAAGTACACATAGTGGCACTGCATGCGTGCTCAGTCAGCCCAGAGCTTCTAATGCTGTACCAAGTTGTCTTTGGAACCAACCACTGGGAGTTATACTCTGATTGCTGAGATTCAAAGATGGGGCATTGAAATCTCCGGCTTACAGTATTTGATCAAGCACCAGTATTACCACAATCGGTTTGCTTTTCTGGGCCTTTGTACACGAAGGAGTTCGGTAGATCCCTCCAATCAAGTATTTCGTGCCGATTGAGTGGAAACAACACCAACATAATTCTGTCACCTCAGTTAGTTGGGTGTCGTATAAACGCTCTTTTTTTAAGTGGCTATATATATATTTATAGCCACTCCACCTCAAGTTTGGTGTTCCTTATCGCTTCGGAACAGTGTCATGCCTGGCAAGCTCACTTCGTTGTCTGCAATGTCAGGGGATAGACATGTTTCAGTTAGGATTACGATCTTCAGATCCATCTGAGAGCACATATTCCTGATTTCTAACAGCTTAACCCTTAGTCCTCTTACGTTGCTATGGCGGCAACTGGTGGTTTTTCTCAGCACCTGGTGCACTTCTGCAGCAGCAGCCGTTGTCGGATTTTCAGACAAGTTATTCAAACTGAATCGGCCAGTTCTGTGGGAACTGGCCTCTGCAGGTTTTTCGCCTGCGCGGTTGGTTCAATCGTGTCTTGTGCCAGGGGTAGTTGACCGAGGTTAACTATCAGTTTTGTGCGTTCATTATGGCCTCCCTGCTGTTGTCTCACAGATCTAGGTCGGCTTTCGCAGCACCTGATGTGGCCAGACAGATCGTTACTCGAACTCTACTAGGCTTGCTGTGTTTCGGTCAGGTCTTCTAGGTTCCTAAATGTCACAGCCATCAGGCGTGGTGACTAGATGTGACGGGTGAGGCAACCTAAAAATGCAAACTGCCATCGTGGTGTGGAGGGATAGGCTACGCGATAGCCATCGGCACTGTTGCACATCGTGCTCGTGAGCTTCGTCCGGGTTACCGCTGGTGAGTTCAGGTATACCGTGAACTACCATGGTGGTCTGTTCTTAGGTGCCTCGCGCAGTTCTGGCTGCTGCAGGTACCGACCGCGGCTTGTCATGCCTGATGCGAATCGGTGAGGACAATTTGACAGATGGTCTTTGGGATGAAAGGATGATGTCTTCAGAAAGTCGTACCTAGTCAAGAATAACCCTGATTGGAGAGGGTTTTCCTTTCGAGATATTTTGGCTTTTGAAAAGGCGGCATATTTTGGCTGGGACGTCGCACATTCCGAGGGTTGTGCAGTGTTTATCCCACTGCTCTTCGTCGCAGGCGGCCCTACCTTCTAGCAAGCTTTCTTCTGATACCGGGACACTAAATTAAATAAGTGAGTTCTCGGGTGGTAGCCGCTTGTGAGTTGGGGTGTTGCTCTTTCGCTTCTTGACGTTCACCCACTGTTCTTATTGCTAGCAGATACTGGGGGGTTAATAACAACCGGCAGTTTTGTAGGTGTGTTAGGCAAGGTTGTGGTAGCCTTGGTCAATCATTTTACTGGTTTAGTGCCAGGCAATTTTGGTTTGGTAGTTTGGACTTTAGGGTTGATTTTGAGTGGGACCTGTGGCTTTGTCAGTGCCTCAGAAACTCTACACCGAGGGCAAATGTACCAGAACCATGGGCAGGGGTGACTCAGCATGAAACCGTATTACTTTTTGGGTACTGCAGTGTCGCAGTGACAATGTACACATGTACTACAGAAGTTGCATTCGAAAGCATGGTCGCTGATTTTGACTGGTAATGAACAGGCAAAACACTCGTCCTTATGCTGGAGCGTCTTTTTCTCCCATTCTTATCTAGCTTACTGGTATTTTTAGGAATAAGAGTGGTGTCTTCTTCCTCTGTGGTGTCTGCGTTGAGTGATCTACAGTATGGACACTGAGAGGCGTACTATCAGATCATGTCGAGTCTTTTGTAAACATAATTGGGGGGCTTCCCTTCCGAGTCGTTCTGTACTTCGAAAAGGCAGCATATTTTTGCCAGGGCATTGCACATTCCGAGGATTGCGCAGTATTTAACCCATTGCTCTTTGTCAAAGGCAGCCCTATCTTCTGACACTGCGACATTAAATAAAACAAGTGAGTTTAATCCATCGTCCCTGTCCTTGAGTGGTAGCAGTTTGTGAGTTGTGGTGTTGCCATTC